CATTTAAACTGTAGGAGGCTTTAAATTAGAGTTTATTTTCTTCACGCAAGCATTCATTAGACAAAGAAAACCTACACGAAATATGTTTAGTGTAAAAATCACAAACCATTTTTTAATGTCGCTTAAAAAAACGGCACACCAATCGCTGTTCAGTTGTTTTCCTCCTTTTCCATCAGGATTTTTGATTTGGTGATGGAAACTCTCAAATTGTCACTCACGTGAGTGAGAGCGTGACTGGTTGTTTGTCTCTATGTGTCCCTGTGATGGACTCACAACCTGTCCAGGATGTCCCCGCCTCTCGCACAGTGTCTGCTAGAGCAGGGGTTCTCAAACTTGTTGGCTCTGGGGACCCCTTGCAAGGATGAAACATTACCAGGGACCCCCTCATAAACCCCATGCTGTTTCAAAAGTAATTTACTGTCATTTAACCCCTAAATGTCATGGGAATATTATTTTTTGTTTGGTTTAGTATGTTTGTTTGACTAGTGCATTGTTCCCCATATGTTTTTTTTATAAAAACCAAGTTATTGAAATTTTTGAGGACCCTCAAGATACAGCTTGCGCACTCCTGGGGGTCCTGGGACCCCAGTTTGAGGACCTCTGTTCTAGAGACATACAACAAGAAGAGGGTCTTTGCAGTCGCTAAGTATGAGTTTCTTGTTTTGTGYGAGGAGTTTGTCCAAGAAGTGATTGGTTGGATTGACTACTTTGGGCGGGGCTTGAAAAAGCTGGGGTCAATCCAACCAATCATGGTTTTGCCAAACTCCGCCCATATCCAACCTCCACCTATTATCCAAACTCCACTAATCACAGTTAGGATAAACTCCGCCCACATCAAGAACTCTGTCAACCACAGTTAAGACAAACTCCGCCCACAAAACAAGAAACTCCTCTTATGTAGTGCAGKGATTCCTATTTGCAGCCACCAGCAACCCAGAAAGGGAGAAGCAGGTAAATACATAAATGTCAAATTGTCCATAAATTACATGGATTCCTCCCTATTTTCAGATATAGACATTTAGGGTGCACTGGCTTTCAGAAGTTTCCATTTTTTATTTTTTATTTTAATTTTATTTTGTGTTCTTCCTGCAGGCTCGTAGAGCAGAGCGCAGGTCTGAGCGCCCCCCACCCGCAGCGAGAGCAGCGTCCCAAGGCAGCAGCAGCCAGGGGCGCTCCCGCCTGGAGTGGGTGTGTCATCAGAGCGGGACAGACKAGGTGTACATCAACCACCGCGAGCACTACGTGTGACAAATCTTCTGATGCCAGCCCACCAATCACACACGCACACACACACACACATACACCAGTCACTGCACCTGAGTGGCGTGGAGCGCACAGGCCTCGCCTGATCCCCTGATCCATCAGTCCAGACCAGCAGCCGTACAAGAAAACATCTCTCTCTCTCTTTCTGCAGGAACTACTTCTTCACACTTTCATCACATTTCATGCCTCGTTCAAAAAAAAAAAAAAAGTTAAATATTCTGGGGGAACAGCCTGTGCTCGATGCGAACTGAGCTTCTCGGCACTCGCTGAAATAGGAAACATAGTAAACATGTAGCTGCAGCCAGCCGCAGTTATCTTCCAACAAGCGTGGAAACGGGGAACGACTRGTGCCGTTCCCTAAATATCAAACTTCTTCTTTTATTTTGCGGCAAACGTTCGCTTTTCAGCTATTTCAGGCAGAACTCCCTGTACTTTCTCTCTAATGAGTTTGTGCATTAAAACATCACAGGAGTCTTAAWAACCTCATCGACATCCAAATGTATTCTTTTTGTTTTTATGCATCCATTTAATCAGACCAAACTTTTCAAGTCCACACAACAATCCAACAAACCCAAAAGTTCTTCTGGCAGCAAAACGTGTAGATTAGTAATTATTTAAGAGTAATCCTTTGGTTTGTTCAATTATCAATCTATTTTTTGTCAGGGAATCAATATAATCTGTAGATTAGACTAGAATAGATGATCATTCTTCACTTTTATGGTATTGCTCTTGAAAACTAACCTCTTTAAGTGCCATGTTTGGGTGTTTGAGTAAATAATGTGCTCTTATTCCTCTGATGTAGCAGGGTGGATGTGAGTTCTGTTCTTATGTAACACATAGAGACGTATGATTCTTAAATAGTGTGAAACATTAAAATAACACATAAAGGATGACAGAAGGGAGAGGATGAAGGGCTGGTTCTGAGCTCCACACAAAGCTGTTCAGTGACCTTTTTAAGGTAAACGTTGACGGATGGAAGCTCTGAGTCACGACAGAATGAAACAAGAGAAGCTGTCCTTGAAGATTTAAGATGGAGTTTGAATTGATGCTCGTAGTTTGTTTTTTTTATATATATATAATTTTTTTACTTCTTTTAAATAAAAACATCAAGTCAAGGTTGACAACACATTGCATCTGCTCTTATTCTCCTCAAAAGTGTTTTAAAATGCCAGGAACGAATCAGTGACGATGTGGTTGAAAAGATGAAGATTACGTCACTTGGTTATGTTGGAAATGATTGACAGAAATGGTTTTGTTTGGATCCGTTTCAGTTTCTCTCTTTGTGCAGCAACTTTCCAAGAATGACTTTTTGGTACGCTACCAAGATCCCAAATAACGAGCGTTAAATTGCGTGTGCAAACAAAAACATTGCACATGCATTAYTGGGCATGGTGTGGGTGAGTTACTAAGACTGCTGCACGAATTAGAATAAATCTTTATTCCAAATAAAACAATAAAAAATGTGTATATWCATACATGAATATACATAACTTACAAGGCCATCTGTATGAAAAAGAGTAACTTATAAATYCCCTACCCCTTTCTCGCTTTTCAATTGATCAATAAAATTCAGATTTTTTTTTGTTACACCTTCTTACTTTATACACTATACATACAGCAGAATTTAACAATAATCACTTATTTAACTCCCCAGTGTTTCACCACATRGTTACAAACCATCACCACCCTCCTCCACCACATAACATTTCAAAATGACTTTTTATTTTAAACCYTTCAGTTCAACATTTAACCCAACATGTGCAAAAGTGGAGCGGACTGCTTTACTGAAACAAAGGTTTTGCATGTGCTACATTAATATGTTCTGCACATTCATGAAGGCAATCCACCAAATGGATTGTGTTTGCTATTTTGCTCATTTGACAGACGCAGTCCTCAGTGTGCACACGGTTCATCGATCAGCTTTGCGCACACTATCAAGTTTGCAAGACTTTTATGCACACAAAACTTTAGTAGATCAGGCCCTCAAGTGGTTAAACCTGTTGGTTAAGATGAACTTCAGGGTTTCTCAAATATTTCATGCTTCTCCCCTCTTTGGTAGGACAAAAACTTAAAAAAAGTTATACATAAAATAACAACTCAAGATTTATGTAATCTTTTAACTTTTTGGAAACACTTTAGGAAGCTTGATAGGAATAAAATAAAATGTCCATCTAAATGAAGAAACACAATCAAAAAAAAGTTGAGAGGACTTCAGTATCACAGCATTAATTAGACTTATTTTTATAGTGTTATCAATCTGTGCAAAGAGTTAAAACTGATATATGTTTACTTAATAGAAAATAGAAGTAGAGAACAACCAGGACACCAAACATTTGTATCAAATACTTTTTTTATTGGGGAGCAACATTTCCAACAGGAAAAACAATCAAATGAATAAAAACCTACACAAATATTATATAACTCAGACAATAAAAAGTGAGAGTAGCAGCTGCAGTCAGGTGGATTATTCATTTTTATGGTTGATTATTTTTGTGCATTTTACAGTCAAATTAAAATCAACCGTCTCTTAGAAAACAAAGATTAGTTTTACATCGACACATTGATGCCATCATTTAATAAAACTAAAATAAATTGTTGCAGGGTTTTCGGGTTAAATGAAATTCTCTGTCTCACTTCTTGTTTTTAGCACCAATAATTTAAAAAAGTACATTTTAAATGTTTCATCTAAAAACCTTATTGTAAAAATAAAGAGCAGTAGATCTGTAATTCAAGCAATTTAAGACATGCTAGTATGAGTACAACTTTGTTTTACAGCAATATGGTCTTTAAAGGGGTATTTAGACCATTCTAAAATGGGGTTCTGTGTGAAAGATCTAAACAATCAGTATCTTACTTGTTGTAGAATGTGTTTTGAACCACCTTAGTTTGGATAAAATAAAGTTTATTTGTGATTTAGATTGATGAACTAGTGACAAYTCAGAAATGGTCTAAAATTAAAGGGAATTGCTGCTGTTTTTTTAACAGGGTCCTCAAAATAATCAGTGTTTTGATCTAATCAATACAACATGTTGAGTTTCTATTTGGTTATTAGCAATATGCCGATAACCACATTGTATCTTTATTTAAATAACTATTTTCCAATAGCATGATCTAAAAACATTGTCATTGATTATTTTGGCTTGATCTTTCTTAAGGGGGGATTGTGCAAAATTGACTTATATCATGTTATGAGTCTTGCTTTGCATTCATTCATGTTTGAGAAATCCTTGAATCTCCTGTGGTAGTTATGTGGAGCWGCCTAAACACTTGCTGGTACAAAGCTCCTCCCTGTAGCTCAGTCTGCAGCAGATCTCCCACCCCACAGAGCACCCCTCCCCTGAAGCACGCACCCCTCAGATTAGCTGTTAATTTGTTAATCTGGTCAAAGCAAACTCTGTTTAAGAACAATCTACAACAAATAACTGTTCAGAACCAGAAACCCCACCTTTAAAGTGGTTGAAATATCCCTTAATATTCACCTAATCTGCTAACAAAAGCTTCCTGGTGAAGAAGCCGCACTAATTGGCTCAGGTTTGGCAGCAAATTTCACAAAAACTAAGTCCAACCAGAATATTTTTGAGATTATTCGTTGCTTTCTGTGTCTCTGCTGGAATCTTCTGCTGTTTGAAACATCAGGCGGTTCATGAAGTCACTAAGCTTCAGCTCCCAGCATCATCCAAATAGTGATTTAAAATACGTAAGTAATGAAAAAGATTGCAACCTTGAACACAGTTCTACCTTTACTGAGAAAAAATTATCTGAGGTATTCTTTGTAAATTCATGAAGATGTGTTATTCATGGAAATATTCACAGCTGAAAACTAGTCTTTACCCTTCTGTACTGCAAATAACAAAAATATCAAAAATATATAAATTTTTTACAACTTTATGTTTGAAATTTTCCAAGAATACTCCCAAAGCTGCACAACGTGTGGAGGGTTTTTTTCTGCCATGTTATAAAACTGTTTGTCTTTGAAATCAAATCCTTTTTCTAGCAAATTAACTCCAATCAAACTACTTTTTGTCTTGTGTTTAACAGATTTCCATAGTATRGCATCAAACCTGTATTTACTGAGACATCCTCTAAAAGCCGTTTACGTCTACATTTKTGTCCAGTTCACACATTTATCCAACAAAATGGAGATTATGTTCCTCTCAGATTTATATCAGTAAGTGAAAACAAACAGAGGAGCAAATAACTTAGACGCTTTTGTTAACCTAGAATTAACTTTTTGACAAGATGCTTTACAAATCTATATTTTACAGTTTATTTTTCTGATCTTTTTTTTATCTACAACTCTTCATATAGGGTATTTATTTAAAGTTGATGAACTTTTTTTTCAGTATCTCGTGAACAAAATGTACCAAAATCTTTCTTTAAACTTAGTTATTTTTACTTGGACAACTAGACAGGCCCAAACTATGATACTACCTCTGTTTCACAGTCTGGAGTATTTTTTTTTTTACATTTTTTAATTCAAACCAAAAGGTTAACGTTTGCTTCAGTTGTTGATCATGTTGTCGGTTAACCTGATAATATTTCTCTAGTGTACAGTGTGGCACATAGGGCAAAGCAATATATCAAATTTATCATCCAAGCTTCAGAGCGGAACAGTTCCAAGTTGGATGATGTCATAAACCAGGCAAAAAATCTATACACAAATAAAATCCCTAAATGTCATTCTTACACAATCTGAAGTACAAATCATAATAAATGTTTGGGTCAGTTCACATTTCTGCTGACTGCTGGTAACTGTTTGAAACCTGTTCATATGTTAGCACTGATTTTCAGCTTTTCTCTGCCCCCTGATGGTCAAACACGATACTGCAGATTCTAACCAGACAGCAGTGCTGATAGTTTATGCTGACAAGTTCCTAATTGTCACCAGTTATTAAAATTCATTTACAGTTTCTGAGAAAAAATAAAATATCTTAAATAATTATTTGTTAAAACAAAAAAAACTTAATGGAAGTTTTGCCTTTTTTTAAATAATAAAGCAGCAATAATAGCAATGCTTTGTCATGAGTGTTTCAGCATAAACCCAGTGTTCATCAAATTAGTAAAATACACTAAAAAGAAAGAAAACAAACCAACAGGTTTTCTCTCCTGACAGAAGTTGTGTGAACATCAAGAGAGCATCTCAGTAAATAAAGTTTCCCACCTCGTCCACAGACCCCGCCTATCTTTGTGTGAATGGCAGCTTTGTTTCTGTTGTCAGGATCAATTAAATCTTGCCCCTGTAAACAATCACGTTGGAGGGATAGAAAAGAGCTGCCCTGTCAGCGGCCCCCACAGAGGATGTAACATTCCAACACATTTCCAAATCCGAAATCCTTCCAAAACCCAATGAACAAGTTACTTTGACTTGGCTTTCTGTTTGATGGCAGATGGGGGGGCAGGTTTAGTGGTGGGTGCCGGGGCAGGAGGGGGTCTCACTGACTCATACAGGCTGACAAACCTGCAATCYAAGCAACACAAAACAAGAAAATAAGTCATTTATTTTGTAAGTAGTTTAATTTTTCCGAAACTTGGCTCAGCCAAAAATAACAGGAAGTGACATCAACGGGGAACTCTTTAAGAAGATGAACTCTCTGATCTTTGTTGACTGAAACAATATGATTTGATCTCTGACACTTCTTCYTTTCTGATAGTGACTCGAAATAATCTAAAGAAACATCAGATTTTTCTCTACAGTGTTGTCAGCGTCGTAGCAGTGTTCTGTTTACATACAAACATTCTGCTTTGACATCACTTCCTGTTACTTCACATGCAAATATCTTGACAGCTGTTTATCTGAGCAGTGTGAAATTATTTTTGCAATTCTTGACTAATGTTATCTTTACATAAATGCATCCATATTTATTACAAAAACGTTGATGTCACGGGCACTTTAAAGCAAGTTACTCACAGATTGTTGAGTTTCTTTACAAAAGCCCTGACCGCCCTGACCGCCCTTCTTATCCGCKCCTGTCGCAGAGTTAACAGTTTCCTCAGAGAAAATCCATCAAAGCTGTCAATAATAGTTTCAAAAACAGTAAAATACTTATACTGACCTGTTGTTTTTTATATAGCAGAGGAAGGGAGAAAAAGGCGATTACAGCTGCAAGGCAAGAACAAAAATGAAATTCTTTATAAGCTTTATTATATGAGTGCTTTTGTAGAAATTTGATTTCTCTCTATCAACTCACCGGCTATCACCAGAGTCAGCCCGTTGGTTTCCATACCGACGTACGTCAGCAGGTAGAGGAACAAAACAAACTGAGGGTGCAAGCACAGATTGGAGGCTGAGTTATGTTTGAACTTTACAGAGCCGTGGCTCAACAACAGGTGGTGTTCGGCAGCAAATGAAATGTTTTATTTTGAAGGAATGCATGTCGCCCGCCGCCATCCAAGTTTTAAAATCATCTTAGGTTGAGAAATGACTGAGCAATAAACCTTGAAAATATTGCGCACAATACCARGTGAGGCTGAGTGTTGTGGACGACTCTCAGCCGCTACCGTTTTGAATTTTAGTTCAGTATTTGTGAAACTGAGCGAGTTGTAGCCTTACAAATATCAGTTAACTGAAGCAGCCAATTTGACCTGGATTGACCCCAAAGTTGTAGATGATCATGGCTTTAATCTGTTCAATGATTCTCAAGATATTTTGCTAACAGACAAACACACACAGACAAGAACAAATGTTGTCCCTGTTTTGTTTTTGGCTATGGTATCCATAATTTAAATACAGATTTATGTTGTCAGGAATCTTAATAACTGTGATGCTGTTTTTTCCCAAAAAATTAAAAAAAAGACTTTTAAAACTAATATTTTCAGAAGATGCCATTTTGTAAACACAATGCACGTTTACATTTTTCTTTTCCAGCCCTTATTTCAACATCACTGCAAAAAATGTCCATCTAACCAAGATTAAAAATCTTATATCCAGCCAAAAAAAAAGTCTTTTTGATCTTGTTTTGAGACTGATTTACTAAACAAGAACTGATTGTGTAAGAATAATAATCTTGTTTTCAGAATGTGTAAGATTATTCGTCTGAAAATTTGACTCAAATTAAGTCAAAAATTCCTGCCAATGGAGTGAGAAAATTTACTTGGTAAGATTTAACTCAATTTTTTCTTATTTCAAGAATCTTACCAAGTAAATTTTTCTTACTCCTTTGGCAGGAATTTTTGACTGAATTTGAGTCAAATTTTCAGACTAACAAGATAAATAATTTTACACATTCTGAAAACAAGATTATTATTCTTACACAATCAGTTCTTGTTTAGTGAATCAGTCTCAAACAAGATCAAAAAGATTTTTTTGGCTGGATATAAGGTTTTAAAACTTGGTTAGATGGACAGTTTTTACAGTTTTTACAGTTTTTGGCTGATATAAGGTTTTAAAACTTGGTTAGATGGACAGTTTTTGCAGTGATTAAATTGGAGGCTGAAAATTAGTCAGTTCAATTAGGTCGAACCTTCTTGTGTCATAGATTAATGATTCTGTGCTGCACGCCCTTAAAGCTTCACATTAAGGACCCAAAATTTACTGTTGTTCCTTCTTTATCAAATCCGACCAACAGATGGTGCCAAACAGGTTTAAATACATCGTGAATCACCTTCACAGAGTCGATGATGCTTTCAACGAACAGAAGGCGTTTGATTTCTGTGACGGCGAACGCCACCAGCAGCACCACCTCCTCCACCAGCATCACCGTCTCCTGATCTGTTAGAGAGCTGTCGTAATCCAGATACGACCTGGGGAACAGAGTCACAGAAACCTGAAACCCCTCCAGGAGTCACATCCCATCACAGTCCAGCACTCACAGTGTTCTCCTACAGTAGCAGAGCCAGTCTGGACTCACTGAAAGGGGTTGTATCCAGGGCTCCAGTGCAGCAGCTCCAGCAGTTTATAGTACAGACAAAGAGGAAAGGTGATGCACATGATCCCTAGTAGGATGTGGGAGAGCACAGTGATGGCGCTCAGCTGGAAGAGGCTGGCCAGGGCGATCACCAGGCCCGTAAACACCACGCCGGTTCTCCTCATGCTCCTCCAGTACACCAGATCCATCACTGCATGAAGAATAACAGGTGAGCGGGGAACAGAGGGAAGAGGCGTGTGTAAAGGAAGTCTGTGCTCTTCACTTTGTTAGATACAGGCCAAATGTGCATTTTGAGACCAGCAAAAGCTTCAAGATGTCTTAAAAAAGGCAAATTCTGCTTTAAAGATAGCATTTACCATAAACAATGTTTCCCATAATGCATGCTGATTATTTTACGCACAAAAAAGCAGCATCCAACCACATTCGCTGCATTTTCCTCAGTGACATTACCGTCATGCTCAATCAAGACAAGACTCAGGGTTAAGCTCATTATTTTCTGACTTAAACAAAAAAAATTATACTAGCACCTAAAACATGGAACTTGAAATATCACAGAAGTCAGAAAATAATGTAAATAACTTCTATGTACATATAAGCCAGCTTTTCCAGAGGAGTTTGAGTAAATGTTTTCTTTTTTTTTTTCACTGTGAATTTCCTGAAGTCAACAGACACCAAGACTCGAGCCGTTCCACTTTTTAAGCCATTTTCCCAGACATGCTGTTACTCTATAAACTCTGACTGAACTCTAATCCTACTAACAGATGAGGTCTAACCGATGAATTAACAGATGTAACACAAAGAGTAAAATGAACAAACATATAAAACTTAATGAAAAAAAGAAGAAATTAAAAAAAATGAAACCAAACATTCATTCAGATGTGTCTAATTCTGCTCCGAATGAAAGACTGGCTGGACTTCCTGTCTCACACTAGTCTCACACCTGTCTCACACATGTCTCACACCTGTCTCACACCTGTCTCTCTGCCCTCCAGCTGACAGCTGTCCTCTCATTCTTTTAGCAGACACTAATTATTTCCTTACGTTTGGAGGCCATTTCAGCGGCGGTCCTGCTTTTGCTCCCCTTTCTTCCTTGAGCTTCCCCCTGCTGGCTTCCACCCCAGGCTTTTTTTGGCCACCCCCGCTCTGTCAGCAATATAAGGCCTGCCTGGCCTAATTTTAACCCTCTATTGGATACACCCTGAGAGGATTCACACAGACACACACACACACACACACACACACACACACACACACAC